TATTTGTTAGCTTTTAAGTTTTCGAATTGGTTTTACTATTTTAAGAACTAAAACTATGCTAGAGATGACCAATTTTGATAATCAATCAGATATTAAGTAGAAATCTATTTTGGTACTTAATTTTAAAGATTGACCGATTAGAACAGCATCTCAAAGATATTCGCAGAGAGGCACGTAAAGAAAAAGAAGCCATGGTAATAATGTCTAGAGTATTCATACTAAACGCTATAATAATATACACATATATACTGTAGTAGTCTTAAAAGTACATTATCACTTTTATCATTTATATGTATTTATTAAATTAGATGAAAGATTATTCGCAAAAACTTGACAAAATGGAAGAGGCAATCAATGAGAAAGATCGAGATGTAAGTAATGCTCCATCAGCTTTTGTTAGGTTCATTTTCACTTACGATTACCTATTCTGATCCAAATATGAAATGGTCCCTTTAGATTAGACTGATGCAGTCGGAATTGAAGCTCGTAAAAGAATTCCGCCGTAAGCGGGGACAAATGCAAAAGGAACTGGATGAGGTTAATTTCTATTTGTTATAATTCAACAAATCATTACTTCTCAACATTCAGAATTCAGTTTCAACATTAGAATAATTTGAAACTATTTCAATCATTAGATTAAAGACAACTTGTACGGTGCGGAAAGACAACATAAACAAACTGTTTCTAAAATGGAGCAAAAATTTTTTGAGGAGAAGGTATAATTTAAAAAATCTAGAGCTTTTTGGCAATAATTATAAGTATTAAATGGACAATTGTAAACATTAAATTGTTTGCGCTCTTGGCAATCACTATAGATTCATTTGCAAGACGAAGCTAATGCGAAAATTGCAGAACTAGCAGAACGAGCTCACAAAGAGGCAGTAAAGTAAGTGAAAAATTTTTGTTGATTAAAATTGCATTTTCTTTATTAATTCAATACCATGACTACATAATCTGACAGTAAACTGGATGAAACAACAAAATCTGTATATAAAGAAAATGTGCGATTAGTGGAAGCACTCAATTATCACGTTAAGGAAGGAAAAGACCTACGCAAAGTCAGTCTATGAGTTATTTCCTCCGCAACTTTACGATTACAGTATATAGCTAATTGAATACTTCCTTCTATTAACCAGCAATTGGAGCATGTGCGGGAGGATTATGATGCAATCCATCGTGAAAGAGAGTTAAATGACATTATTATGAGAGAGAAAGTAACACAATCTAAACAGCTGCAAAAGCTAGTCAGTGAGGTACGGTAAAGTTTAGCGAAATATTGAACCATTTTATAACATTAGTTGACGCTGCATTTCCAATATAGCCTAGAAATATACCATAATAAGATATCTTAAAGCAACATACTAAAACAATACATCTAATTCTATGTAGCAAAAAGAAAAGGTTCACAATTTAGAATTATCTCTGAGCCATGTTGTAAGAGAATTTGAACACGAACGAGCTAGTCTACATAGCCGAATAGAGCAAGAATTGGAGGCTAGCAGGTACATTCAGGCCCTTTTATTAATTATAGAGGTGTAATTAAACTACTTTGTGCTGGAATTAAAATATACAGATATACATAGCCAGTGGTTAACTCAGATGCAATATTTTATGATACCTAATGCGCTATTTACAGAATGGAAAATGAAAAACTCAAGAAAATTTTAGACTTAAAAAATAAAGAATTAACTAGGATTAAACGACTGGGAAAAAATATATTAGACCAAGTAAGCTAATGAATTCCTCATCACAGTACCGCATACATAGCCGTATTTTAAAAAGATGCAATTCATACGTAATACATTAAAGCTAGTTATATGTTGTTTTGCAGAGAACTGAAATGGAGCAGTTCTTTTTAGAGGCTCTGTCACACATCAGAAATGAAATCGTTAGAAATAGGTATACTCAAGAATTGTTATATATTTTTGTATTTAATTAAATATCTTATTCGACTAAAAGTGGCTTTATGTCTGTAATTTAATAATCGCTATGCTTTATCATTTTAGAACGCAATACAAGCATGACGCTCAAACTGTATACAATAGGAAAATGTTAACTGCTCATACAGGAGGAATCAATTATCCTAAAGTTAGAACATTCCGGTATGTTTGGTCTATGATAACTACTTTACTGATCTATTCTCGATATGATATAACCTAGCTTGTAGACAAAGTCAATGATTTAATTGCTACATCTTTACTTTTTACCATCAGCCCCACTGATACTAGCACAAACAACGTTTATGAAGATTTAGAGAAAGCAAGAGACTGGTAATAATTTATCAGCAAAGTTACTATAATGTAGAAAGTACTATCGTGCATTACAGATTAACACAAAATAACAAAAGATCTCAATGATGATAAGTAGTCAAAAGCCTTAGATTATATGAAAAATTTTTGGATTATTTTATTAGGACGCATATGCCCAAAGATATTGATATAGGAGATTTGACATGGGAACAAAAAGAAAAAGTTATTCGATATTTGTTTGCGAAAATGAATGGTTACAAGGGCAGGTACATATGAGATGAGGCGAAGACTTATCAATCTTTACTAGATCGATTTCTGTAACTTAAATTTAAATATAATTCTATACAATTTAAAGGCAAGTAGATCCTAAGTCAAATCAGGAGAAACAAACGAAACTTAGTATTACAAATGGCAAGGAAATTATAAGGTACTCATTACTATTTAAAATTCTCTTAATTTTTAAAACTTATTTCACTACGACCAGAGAGCGAAACTTTAAAAAGCCGTCTATTTCTATTTTATTAGTCCAATACAAGATGATCTAAAAGAAATTGATGAATCCGCATTCGATGAAAACGGAACTGCATTCTTAACACAGTATGATCAGACTACGATAGAACAAAACATTTCGCTACCTGATATCCGCGATTCGCGTAAAGAAGTTACTACCAAAATATAATCAATAGATTTAGTTATTTCTATTTGTTGAAATTCCCCACGCTATTTAATGTATAATATGATTGTAATTTTGTGCTTAAAGGTTACAATTATTGTATAATCAAGCATTCAGACCATGGTGAAGTCTAGGCTCTATACTACTACAAATTGACTTACATAACTTAAATGGACCAGCAACATCAAATAATAAACTGTATATTGAGCCTGGTGATCTTTAAATTCTAGAATAGTAGCTATAAAATATGTATATAAATGTTTACTTGCAATTTTTTTACGAAATGCAGCAACCTTCATAACTAATAAAATAACAGGCATAATTTTAACCAAAAATTTTTAAAAAACTTATTTATTGGTAAGGTAACACATTCTTAATAAAAGGATGTTATTACTTGGTGTGATGGAGGGTTCGAAGAGTCAGATAATGTGGTTTTAGTTGCCATGCAGAGAATTGCACAAGGAGCTTAAGAAAAGAGGATACTTTATTGTAGATAGTAGTTAGGTACAGTGTGATAATTACGGTAGGTCAGTGTGGTAGCTGCCGTGAGTAAAGTGTGAATACTAACTGTAACTAATAATGCAACTTAACAAATCTAAGGTAGAAAACGGCAGCATTTATAGCTATGCATTAGAACACATGCAGAGAACATGATTGTAGGATTAGATAGAACATATACCATAACAGGTTATAGAATAGCAGATGATTGTAGAAAATAGCGAGGACTGTAATAACTAAATGTATTAAGCCATATTTGAATGTAGAGCGAACAGACTGTAGATATGTCTAAATATAAGATCAATACAACATGTCTATATTTAAGAGTAAAGTATAGTTACAGTACATTCTAAATACACTACACTTGGTATGATGGAAGCTTTAAAATGCAGACTACAAATATGTTGGTAAAAGCTTTCGTTCAGACATTGATATCATCTGTGTTTCTGGCCCAAAAATTTATCTGAGTAATGCGCTGGTATAAATTGAAAGAAATCAGGCTTAAAATTATACTCGTTCCGGAAAGAGTAAAAAGTTGGCTACCTATGCCATATGTATTTATTGAAACATGATTCATCGCTGGATACATAATTTATTATTACAGATGGCTATCCATCAATAAAATCTTATAATAAAGTATATTACAACTTCAGGGATTTTAAATAAGATCCTCGTATAGGCGCTATTAAGCTATATTAAATGTTCAGAGGGTATCGTACCGAACCGTAATCTATGGATAAAATGGCCTTAATATATCAGAAAATTATTGTCACTAGCAATAGTGGCTAGATTGAACGGCTTATCAAATTATTATTATTATCAAGCTGCCAAAATAAGAACAATGTAAATATTTAAGTTTAAAAGCCATAATATTCGCTTCAAAATATCCACGTATGAAGTTATATATTGCAAGTTGCAATATGGTAAAACAACCGTATTCTATAAAAGTATAGGTATGAATGCTTTGAGGATTTGGCATAACGTTCCAATTATATAATTATTGATTGATTGTCCTATTGCTAGTTCGAACTATAACGGCTAATATACACCTACTGAAGATTAGGTTCATCAGTTTACATAGGTCATTCATACACTGCTTATGTCTCTAGCCATACGAATCAGACACAGTACTGTATTACTATTCGAATAAATCAGTTACATAATAGATGGAGTATATAGACACTGAGAATACAGAAAAGGCTATAGAGTACCATACTAAAAGGTAGGATCGAATTTTAAGCATGCGCATTATAAATTGCTTTAGTATCCATAGCAACTAACTCCATCAATGCTCGGCTACAGATTTATCCCAAGTTAAGGTTTAAAATTTTGGAGAAAGTAAACGTAGAATATTACGTCTAAGCATCATCTGCCGCTATCAAATACTTTGACAAACGCTGGTCTATTACGGTCTGTCATAAACAGCAGCTTTCTACTTTAAAGCCATATAATAACACGAATTCCAATCAGACACTCAGCTCCAATTATAAGCGAATTTGCAAGTCATTTCTGCTTACTAACGAAAAATCTAAACTCGATCAAGATAGACATTAAATATAATTGATTGGTATGAGAATAACATGGCATCTACAAGCAACACTGGTGAATTAGATATAAATGTGCGTCGCACGGAAATATCTGATGCTACAAAGATTATGCAATTATTTAACTCCTCGACTGAAAAAATTTTTGGCCGCGTTAATGTCGTTCACTTGATGTAAGTATAATATGAGTAGATGTAGTATCCTGCTTAGCTTACACAATATCTTGATTCTTCTATTTCTAGAGAAAAATCAGTTCTTTCTATCACTATTACGGATGATCAAGAAACAATGATTGGACAAGCCTCTTTTTATGATTATCCTAATATTCAGTCACACGTAGTCGAAAGATGGGAAGACTTAATAATCTCCAACCCAAAACTGGCACACTGCTCGGTAATTAAGTCTATACTTAAGTTACAAGATAGCAATTTACTTACCTCGAATAACATCTTGATTCATATTATCAATTTTACTCCTTTAGCCTCTAAATACTTTATTCCTTCATCATTTCGTCGCCCTTGAAGGCTACGCTAAAGGAGTAGCAAAAGAGATTTTTAAGTAAGTATTGAGCTCTTCCAGAATTTTAATTTTATTGATCACTTGTATAGATCAAGAGTCATTAAACCATTTATCTATCTCTTTTTATTCCATCAACATCGTAGGACATTCTTTAATGCGACACCTTACGTTCACTACTGTTTGTTGAGCGTTAAGAAAGGCACAGCTATGGGTAACTCAGCTATTCTATTAAAATCTTATGCTTGAAAATTTGTGCTAAAATTGAAGCTGTATTAAATCACATAATCACAATAGGCGATTCCTTAAATGAAATTTTTTCGCCGACTGGATTTATCTCAAAGTTGGAGGGAAGTGAATACGAGATATTAATTTGTCACCGTCATGACCATTGCCCAACTTTACATATACGCCCTGCAAAGTACGAAATATACGGGAGACAATTTCTCGAATGAATGATTAAATACATATGATTACAAACGCCGTAATTATTTTATCGTACTTTAATAAATTAGGGTCGAAGATCATGATGACTTAGTACCCATATTTAATCGGCAGAGTGAAGTTCTAAAAGAAACTTATGGTAAATTTCCTACCAATCCTAAATCCGTTATTATTATCAATCATTTGATGCTATACTGTACAGTATATTATTTGGAAAATTAACTTAATGCCGCTATTGTTATTACGTACAATCCAATAGGTGATTATTTTCTAGCGGAGTTAATAGAAGCTCAAAATGAAAATAACAAGTGCATCGTAGTAGACGTAAGATCGAAAAAATAAGTATTATGAATAAAAGATAGTTATCAATGTATTATAAGACCTATTAAGTATGTCATTGTTAATCACTTAGGTTAAGGGAACTGCAGTTGGGTTTATGAGTCTGAGTAAAAACGTTAATATAGATATATTAACGTCATGCTTTGAGCTATCGCCATTTAATGGTTTGAGAAGACCTCCTGAATTTAGTAACGCTGAAAATGACGATGGAAAGCAAGCATCTGAAACCGAAGAGCCAACTGATACACCTGCTAAGACATCAAGGTATTGCGACCGATATATATGAAGGAAATATAATCTTGCTGGAATATGATTTCTAACTTAAGATTTGATAAATACTAAACTATATTTATTTTAATATCATGGATTGAACAGAGTTACATCGATCATTCAAACCGACGGTAGATATTGAATTATTATCATATCTAGACCTACAGTATATTGCTCATTAACTCATTTAATGTTTAAATGTTTTTTTTATCGCAATGATCAAAACTTGTCAAAAAATCAGACCATGATTCCAAAAAGGACGATAGGAAGCATTCCACTAAAGGGTAAGTTAATTTTAATTACTAACTGTTCAAATTTATAAACCTATAAAGAAATACCGCCACCTGTATTTGTTTCATAATGTAACATCTATTAAATGACTTTCAGACTCCATGATATCTTTTCACGTCCACCAACTAGAGGTTTGTATTTTTATGTAGTGTAAGACATGAACTAGACGATACTGCTGAATAGCAAATCTGAAACTAAAGAAAAGTATGATCTATCTAATCTATAGGAAGTACTATAACTATTGGAACAGATACTAGTGACGTACACTTTAAATCAAAACTTGCTGATGTTTATGACGACGATGACGGGTAAATGTGTTAATAAAGCAATATAGCTTAATCTCGCTTATTTTATCAATCTTAACATTATTTTATATCTCAATACTCCTTTCTAACGGATATAAAATTACGATACAAATTTATAGAAGTTCTTTTGATGGCAGTGAGGAATTCTCTGAGCACAGTGGCTCAGAATCAGTCCAGGTACATAAATATTTCTAGAAAATTGTGTTTTCGAATCACTAACTTCGGCATGAAAAATGCCTTTAAATTTTAGTCACTAAGATCACGGAATGATATGGAAGCTCAAGCTCTGGTGAGTTAAAAAATATATCTGTAATTATTAAGCACTATACACTAAATCTATTATCCTTAAAGAGTTTGACACATTCTTTGTTAATACATATACGCTAGCAATCAATGCACGGAAAATTTAAAATACTTTTTATTACAGGATATAAAAGGAATTGATCGCGCATCTAGTGCACCAGTCTATCAAGGAACTCCGTCCGTTATTTGCATTCAATTATATTGTATAGACGAAAAGTATGAAACAAGGTAAGTCGATTATTAAAGGGTAGTATATAACGGCATTTAATTATAATCACTAATGACTGAAATTGAATATAAAAACAGATCACTAGACTTCATTACAGCGGCTTTTGATTTCTTCCCGGTATGTACCCTTAATTTAAAATTTTTATCCTGCTATTTGATATCTAATTTGACAAAATTAATAATTTTATGGACTAGAATGTCGATTATTGCGTCATCACTGTACCACATTTGGTTCCGGAATTTCCTTTACTGCAACATTTCACGGTAAGCTAGGAACAGTAATTTAGAAAGCAAATTGTAGAAATGGCTGATTTCTAAATATTTTACGCAGAGAGTAACTCCTAAGCCTAGAAGTACCTTTCCTCAAGAACTCTATCTTTTTCATCACTATGGTTTAATCAAGTAAATAGTAAATCACAGCATTTGAAATGATGTAAAAGTCCGTGATCTAACGTTCATCTACTTTATTGTTTAGCTCCATGAAAGTCAGAAACGTAAAAGTCGAAGATGTTGAAACTATTTCTAAACTTGTACAAAACACAACAGGCAAAGACATGCTATTAAGGTATTAAAATACCGTGCACATTCATGAAATGATCTTGTTAATTCCCACTAATCTTCCATCAATCTGATCACTTTCTAATAGGGACATTAATTTATACAACATGGCTCGCCGCGATCCGGTGAGTTGACAACCTTTATCTTTAACATCAAAATATTAAAATATTGCCTTAAAATTTATTATACTGATTTGATCCTAAGTATTTGGTAGAACGACTTATAATGACTTAATAGATTTTAGCAAAATTTCCAAAATTGTTTATTTTAAAACCATTAAACACAAGCCTTGAATAATGTTAAATAAATAAATTTAACTATATTACCAGGATGGAACAGACATCAAAGCCTATGTTGCTGTCTGTCTAAATCAACCTGTAGGTGTTGCAGTTATTAGAAAGGAAGAGGTAAAGATTTATATGATATTAAAAATAAATGGCGAGTTGTAATGCAAATGTTAGCTAAATTCAATGCTAATGACGCTTTCCAATTTCATATTACTTTCAGAACATAGAGTATATTCGATCCCACTACAACATCGAAGATTTTATTTATTATAATCATTATATGAGGGAGGAACACGGCCACTTACATCATTTCGTCTTGAATCCCATCTACTCCCACTTTTCCAAATACTTTATTCAGGTAATAATCATCTACAGGTTAAGAAATTTATAAGCAGTTGCAGATCAATACTGGTAATCAAAAATTACTTAATAATTTTTATGGGGTATACATTTCAACTGGAACTTTAAGATTGAAAAGCTACGATACTTCGCGAATAATTATCGAGACAGAGAAAAGTAAATCTTAACCTTGATATTCTCTCTATTAATTAGGAAATTTTGCGATTATCGAAGAAGAATGCTATTTATTACCCGATATATCCACCGTATGTTCAGTTAAACGAAACCAAGCCTCATTCATTAGCATCATGTTTAGCTAACATGGTGCCCATTAGGTATGGAGGATGAAAACTGCTTTTACCTTGTATTCATATTCTATCAGCATTTGATACCGTAACCATGAATGACTTTGTCTAATTAGGGCTCGAAGACAAGTTCAATACGTAGTCGATGAATTAAAGCATAACGCTCCGTCTAATCGAATTTTGCAACAAATGGTAATCAAGACCAAGATGCAATTACAATGTTAACATTAGTTTGGTCTAATGAAACAATATTAAATTAATTAAATCCTTTGTTATTATATCGCAGGATAACTACATGTTGTTTCACATTAATAAGAAGTTGGTCATGGAACCAAAGATTACGATTAATGCCAGAATCATCGTTGTTGGAGCATCTGATGTGGGTGTATCTTTCCTGGAAAAACTTATTTTTAGGTACTGTAGTATAGGCTAATATCCATAGAACTCAAACTTTTAGCCCAGCTTCTTTTAAAATGCAATAGAACGATCCTTGAATATTTTATTTAGCCCCCACATGAGATTTAACAATCTCAAACTGATCAGCCCTAATGGCATTCCAGGCCAACTAAAACCTAATTCGTTAAGGAATCAATTTTTAGCTGACAGGTAAGATATATGAGTAATAGCCACGTATTTAATATTAATAAAGATCTACAAATATATATATAAAATTGATGAGTTTAAATGGCTTAATCTGATTTAGCTACTGTTATACGCAACAAAACTACGACCAGATCGCTTTACATTCATGGGTTAGCGTTATAAAAGGAGAGGTCAAAGCCATAAATAGGTTAAAAATCAGCAAAGATGAATACTATTCAGTTCTAACTATACATTTATCTTGTAAACATTTAAGTGCTGCACTGCTCAATCTACTTAATTAAACCTTAACAAATTTGCAGTATAATACTGAAGTAAGTTTATTATTCTTAATTACAATCAATCTTATATTAGGAAAAGTAAATATGTGGTGGTAGGAAACGATACGAAAGTCATGTATGATCATTTAATCTTGTGTACTGGCTGCCGCTACCAATATTCATGCCCTACTGGTGTTAATGTCGATGAGAATGTCGTAAACAACGAAACTACTGTACCTTATCGATATTTCGGACCAAAATATAGCAATATTTTCACATTAAATGATCAGTTCGATTGTCAAGCATTTCTTGATTGGTTAGAAGAACAAGACTTTATCAATCGTCGAGGTATATTTTACTTAGGTTGCTATAGCTATTAAATAATTTTTTATCTGCATAATATTAATTGAGCTATATTAATAATACTCGTAAATATCAGTAGAGATAGGTATCAATTACGTCTTGTTCACTCTATTAGCTCATAGTTACAATGCTTTAAAACTCATAATTAGGCAATTTTTCCATTTGCACTTATAGGTAATGTTAACTCAGCCTTCTTAATACTCGTAAAAATTAGTAGAGATAGGTATCAAGTACATCTATCTAATTCAACTAATTAGTTCATGGCTACAGTACTTTGAAACTTCATAATTGCATAATACAATTATCAAACATTAATTAATATAAGGAGCTAGATGATTCTAGAGACGATTGTTATATTAAAACTATATCATATTGCCAAATTTATTTCAAAGCAATTATAATTCGTTAGCCAATAAACGAGTCTTATAAATTGTCTAAATAACACCAATAGTGGTACAGCTTCCCTTTTGCTATGGTATCATAGAGTTAAACTTGTTATTATTATGTAATTATTTATGATTTAATATTACACGATATTTAATGTGGACGATGCATGCAGTAATGAATAATTCCTTTTCTATTTAGATCACGTATGCATTTACGGCAGCACTATTGATGCTTATACCACAGTCCAAGCTTTACTAGAATACGGAATCGAAGGCTCAAGAATTATTCTAATTCATCCGCCGGCAGCATCTCCTATAAATTGTTTCAATAACAGTATAGTAGAAGAAGTAGTTTTAAAAGGATTGAAAGAAGCTGGTAAATATAGGACATAATTTAGTTATAAAATGCTGTAGCAATTCGATAATCTACTTGAGATTATGAGAACATCTCGTTCTAAAATTTGGATATCTTTTTCATACTTCATAAGGCATCACAGTACATCATGACTTGATATTGGCTAGATGGGAAATTGATGAATCTAACGAAACAGTGGTTGGCGCTAGTTTTACTTCTGATAATAAACCAGTCCAAATCTCATGTTCGGCTTTCATTTGCTTTAGCAAACTTGGCATTGACTACTCTATTTTTAAAGGTTTTTATTTCATCTTATTGAATCTTTACAACCAACTATAGTGCAGATAATTCTTGAATTTAAATTCAAAAGACTCACCATTATGCCTAATGATAATCAATTCTTATCTACGTTACTAGCTATCAACGATTCATGCTTGGTCTACGATGGGAGATTAGTCATTGATTCTAGCTATCGAACAAATGATCCTTGCATTTGGGCCGCTGGACCAATGACCAAGTTTGCACGCAGATATCATGCAGAGGCTTGGACTCATGCTAATTTTAATTCTAAAGAAGTTGGACTCAAGGTTGAAATAGCAAATCTAATCGCCTTTTTCAATATATGATTAACTGATTTAGCGAAATTAGCGAATACGGATCGCTATATCTTATTCTTTATTGCATTATATTCTTACCCTTTCTTTGCTAGTTGGCTGAAACCGTTCTAAGCATATTAGACCCTATGCTTGAATCAGAAGCTCCAGATGCACAACCTGATATTATCCCGGTATATAACCATCCGAAGACATTCCTTACGAAACTACCAGGTAGCTTAATCTATTAATTGAATTGTCAAAGTTTTAAAAGTACAAATTCCGCCATACTATAACAAAAATTCATGGCAAATTCTGTATTTAAATTATTTGATACCCTGAAGTAATGGAAACTTTTAAGATCTAGCAGTGGATGGATGATATATAACCAATATATTTGTTTTAAAATCTTAAACAGGAAATTACACATATCTTCATACTGGTAAACCTTCCCTAAATATATCTCTCGATTCAATGATGGTCCAACCAAATTACGTAAGTTAAAGACTTTAGAAGAATCACAAATAGCTTTTGTTATCTTATACCAAATAATTAAAGCTAGGAATATATAACTTCATCTTAGGGCCATGTATTAGTCACTGGTAGCCATACAGTGGATACTCAAGGGTATTTTAGACTGCATATAAATCAATATCGATCAGTAGAAACTGTAACCTGTTTGAGCAAAAATGTAAGCTACTCTGTGGATAGAACATGCTACACTGCATAAAAACATGATTAAAATAGCCTAAATCATCCTTAAGTAATGGTAAAATAATCTTGTAATTCCTTTTTTATAATAGGAAATTAAAGTAAATAACCTGCTATCACTTTATGGTATTCATGAAAAGTTTCTTAATAACGTTCTATCACGTTATAAAGAAGGCCTTGTTTCCGACTTTTATCAGTAAGGAGTAGAACCTGTTATAACAACTTACATTTATCTCCTCAACAATAGTATAAAGAACATGGCGCTAAATTAAGCTTTAAAATATTACAAGTTTAGATAATAATTCCTTGTTATTATATTGAAAGGTACTTCAATGAACCGTGGGCTACAGCAATCTTTCATGACCGCTTTCATGATTTCCGTGAAGAAATCAAAGAAATCCTATTTAATAAACAGGTAGACTTATTTATTCGAGCTAAATAATCTAGTAGTGGGCTATAAACTGCAATTTCCAGAATGAAATAACAGAATCTTTAAATAATAATTTCTTCTTAGGTTGAAGAAGAATCGGACGAAACATTTGAACTGAAAATACGCAAACTATTGGACGAAGATTTTACTGTAAGTTATCTTCTCTATAACTAGAATAAATTTAGTTTTTAACATTAAATTTCACCGTTCGGTTCCCTTTCTTTCGCAGTTTACCAAAAAAGAACTACAACAACTTGGTGAAGATTATATTAAAAGTTGCAAGAGTTCAACAGAGAAGCGCTTATTAACATATTTAAGTTATAACACCTATCACTTGCCCATGTATGCGAAACCAGGAATAGTTTAAAATTTAAATGAAATAATGATCATCTCGATTAGCTTACTAAATGAGGTAATAAGAATTTTGATGGCACGATAACTTAAGGAAAGAGCAATCTTCAAATCTTATCAATGTCTCCTTTCCATTAGAAGTAAAAGTTTACTTTATTCATCAGTAATTCTTCTACTAAAATTCCAGTGACGTCTACGTCACTTAACTAAGTAAAATACTTACTTACTTAAATCTCAAAAAAGAATTTTAATGTATGTATAACTAGCAAGTTTAAATAATCAGATGGCTTTAACGCGAATCTGCGTAAATTAATCTTAATTCAATTTCGAACGTATATCGAGTAAATTAGTTATTTCAATGCAAACAATTGTGCCTTTTCTGATGCAATGATTTGAAAAGAATTGAATAGCTTTAGATCAATTTTTAGCTCGAAAATGGCTTTTAATGTTACCAGTGTTAAAAAGTAGGGATTTTAAGCATCGTTTTTTCTAATAGTAATTTACATCATTTGTTTGTCGTTACAACTTAGTAAAAATTAATAAAGTAGAAAATTGGCTTTATGAATAAATTCTATATATATTTAAATTAGCAGAATGCAGTATTATTAACCTCAAACTACTAGATTTACATTGATAAATTCTGCATAATAGTCTGTCTAGCAGGTAATATGCTTACGTAGGCATGTTGGCTTCAGACTTTTTTGTTTCTCTAGTTAAGAACTCTACTTTGCAACTCCGATAGATTTGGAAAGTATTATAATCAATTTATGAATTTATTGGAAATTGAGGAATGATCATTTTATCCGTATTTGATCTGAATAATAGTCAGTCTTTCATTAGAGGATCAATTGGTGCTTAGATAACTACTACGTTTAGAGTGTATATCTTACTTCGGTAAGAAATATGCGTTTAACTGTAATACCTAGGTAGTAACAGGGTTGTTATGGATCGAAATTGGCAGTTAAGATGCCAAACTGTAGGCGGACAGTACCAGTAAATTAGTTGTTTCTTTTGACGCTAAAACTTAATATATAATAGCTGTAGATTTGACAGAATTTTAGATTCAAGTAATGCTTGTCATTTTCTTTTCTAATTATGGCAATTAAGCCAATTCCATAAAAAAAATTGCTACAACAGTACAGCTTTTCTTCCCTGTAATAAACTACACAGATCCAGATTCTGCTCTTTTGAAGGAGAATTAATTATAAGAGTGCCACACAATCTACATGCAGTATTAACACTATGATTTCGTTTCTCTCCAAAGCCTAATCATAAAATATATTTACTTATTGTCCTATAAAGTCATACAGCACTTTTAAACTGACGATGTAAATATATTTCAACCATCATGACTGAGTAAATCTATTACAGATGCATGTAATATAAGAAAGAAGTAAATCCATTAGTATAATTTTTGCATTATTTTATTGTACAGATTAATTGCGGCCGTCATTTACTAATAGCGTACAAAGCAAATAAAATATAGAACATCAATAAAAGATACGGTACCCGCTATGATCCATGATAATTTTGATTAGCTTTAGGTCAAGGCAAACAATTATGTTGATTTTCAAATGGTCACTATTCATCATTAACTAAGTAAGTATTATATCTTGTAAAGGAATAATAAGAAGCTTCCAGTAATTACCTTAACTGAAGTACATTTAGTTGTTAATAAAGGCACTGCTAGCGTAGAACGCAACGAAAAGCTAGAATGTTTGCAACCTTAACTTGCTAAAATCAATTGAAACTCTATGACTCTAAGATATTTTAGTACTGCCAGTAGTATCACGTTCATTAAACAACTTTTGGATCTGCAAACTAGTTTTGAAAAATGATCACGTCATTCTACCCTTATTTCATCAATTATCGTCATTCTGGAAGAAATTTTTGAAACAGAATTAATACTGTTGGAATTACAAGAGATTCGCTTTCCTTATAGATGAGCCTTTCAGTGGCCAAATTGAGAACAGAAGAATAGATAAAAAAAATTGGACACCAGCTGAACAATTGTTGAAACTACAGAAGTAGAGCACGTTAAAATTTGAAATTAAAGCGATAGTCACCTTATACTTGGACTATACCCATTTGAGTCACATTAATATCGTTAATAATGAATAAATCAGTAGCAAAGCATCAAGTAAATTATTTGGCAAAAACTAGCTGGAAACTTTTAACCTTCTTTATCGGTTCGAACTTGCTCTAATTCAGTTTCATTAGCTGGAGCAACCGATGATTTCCTGATTTCGTCCCATCGCATTTCGATGAAAAACATGTACATACCACCACCAACAATAGCTCCGAGTATAGGTCCGACAATGGGCACCCAGAACCAATAATTTCCATTACTAAACATCATCACACGGGTAGAAATGAAGAATATATTATATTATTCCTTTTCGCTTTATACTGTAGTTTAATCAATATGATACAGAGTGAAAGATATCGAAACTAACATATAGTTTTATCAAAGAAACGAAGTACTGCAAGGTTATCATCTCACTTATATTGTTTTACGCCAATATTTATCTAACATTGAACAAGTAATAACTGCAAATAAAATATAATTTTATCGGAGAAAAGAATACTGCAAGATTATCATTTCACTCATATTACTTTACGCCTATATTTATCTCTTATTGAGTAGATAATTGTTATCAATCAAATGCTATTCGGTGAGAACGTAAAAATGCTACAAGCTCATCATCTCGTTAGTATTTACTGTACGACATAGATGCAGCTTTAAAAAGGGATAATTGATTACTAGTAGCTATTGCTAAATTTTGATAGTGCACGAAGTAAAGAGGTTAGGGTTAGGGTTTGCAAATATGAATACCATTTTCTTTACCCTATTTTAAGACTAACTTAGATATAAATCCGAATTAAGCGTATTTAACTACTAGTATATAATAGAGTGCATATAAGCTTGTATGTTTGCTTAGCTTATGCATTTGCTGCTAACTTCGCAGAAGCAATAAGCGTTGATTACAAACAAATTAAAGAATCCAATTATAGTAACAATCCAGTGGTATACAATCAAAACTATTCAATATTTTAGGTTTAAGGCATATATGAAAATCATAAACTTACACAAAAGTGGGTGTACCCCAACCAGCAATTAAAGTCCACAATCGTGGTGCAAAATCACGAGCAGGATTGATGGCATAACCACAATTTAAGCCAAAAGTATCGCCAATGTTCAAAACAACAAAGCCAATAAGTAAAGGCTTCAAGTAATCTGGAGGAGCCCAGTTTTTATCATCAACCAATGCAAAGACACATAGAGCTAATAGGCCGGTACCAACAATCTAAATAGAATAATTACAATTAGACAGAATTACTCCAAAAAACCAGCAGAATGATAACTGCTTGAGTCTTATTACTCATATAAAATTGTCAAATTAAACTCAGTTTCTATTGTAATCTAAATATACCAGAACTAATCCTGGCCATAAGTAAAATATGATAAAATGTTATCTCTCTAGAGTATTCATAGTTTAATCATTGCTACAGCCTTAAAAAAGATCTATAGCCAAAGAAGAATAAAAGCTTTAAGCCATAAATTTGCACTCTGGAAATAATCTCTTACACCAATCTGTGTAAGAGACTTAAGGCCATTTACTAAATATTGCAACACTATAGCTGATGCCCCACTGTAATACTATTGTATAAGATATTGTCGAGAAACAAGACCTTATACAACGTTAAAATTTGTAAGATTGTCATAATACGTGGTAGAAACTCATCACTTTGATTATGTTCACATTAAACTATGTAAATTTCGACTTCATCAGCTAAAACGAACCTGATCGAAAAATCCTGCAGCAGTACTCAAATAGGGTTGTGGATATGTTGCCCAGATCTGAGCGGTAGCATTAACATGGGGTGGCGTTTGGCGAACTCCACCATCATAAGCATTAATACCCTCTGTATAAAACAATTGAATAAAATTAATTATTAACGGTAAATATCCATCTCTAATACAACAGAATCGATTATAGATCCGCAGATCGAATTTCCGTTAAGGATAGCTGAACGCTGGCTAAACTATCACACGACTAGAAATCGATAAATTGTGCGTAAAAATTTGCTTAAACTATTCTTCAAATGAAATAATTAAATTTATCGCTAATTACCGATATAGATGGCATGGCAAACCGCTGATGCAATGAATGAGCCCAACATTTGAGCTGTAATGTACATCGGAACTTTTCTCCAAGGAAACTTCTTGTAGACAGCTAAAGCAATAGTCATAGCTGGATTCATATGAGCACCAGTTACATTACCAGCTACATAACAACCAAATGTTACACCCAAGCCCCAACCAAAATTAATGGACAAAAAGTCACCGAAATTGCCCTTTCCTAAAACCACTTGAGCCACAGAGCCAATACCAAAAGTCTTAAATAAATTAAAAATTATTACTTGAATCAGTTGATATCACATTATCAATTCCACATCTTTTCATAGGTCAAAATCGTATTTTCTGTAATGTAAAAACACGTGTATCACATTTTAACTATTAAGTTCACCAAATTAAAGTTATATAGCAATTCACTAGTAAATGAAAATACTTTTAATCATATATGCGTATTTATGTAATCATTCATTTTTCCTGGTTAGCACACAAGCAAGTATACGGCCAGCTATTGATATTAAAACTGTACGCAAAATTAATTTCATATATTCTTTTACTCGCTATAGACTACACGTAATTCCAGTTATATTAACGCTAAATAAACGTTTCTATAACAGGAAATCAACATCGCATAGGGATTTATTCTGAAAAAACACCTGCGTAAGGCAGAGCTTTTTCCAACTTTACTAGCGTTATCCGCAAAATAAATAATAAGAAATAATTCATTCGATATATTGATAAGCTGATTATGCAATCATCTCTAGCTCCAAAGCAAATAAATGCTCAGATAGCAAAACTAAAAATTTCGCAACTATGTATTTAAAAATTGGTTTCCTTATATAATTTGGCTAACTCTAGCTAACGTCGTCACAGTTTGTCAATATTCATTAGTTAGTTCTACAATAATATTGATAAATAGCAAGCCTTACACGCCTTGTATATCACGTAGCAACACCTAAATTTATTTACATATAGGTACTGACTCGAATACAGTAATTTCATGACATATTAAAAACTAAAAGATAAATCGACTATATTTGTTCAGCTAGGAGTATATCCGTATATTCTGCATTCCTATTAAACTAACATCATCATTCCAACTCCATTCAAGTGGAAATCTTTGCTCAAGTAAAAGTGGTAGCAAGTATCCACAGTATTCCTAACTTTACTCCCATAATAATTAATATATCCTATGTATCAACTTATATTTTAGTCAATTTAAATCGATATGGACAATGAAAATATAAAATGCACAAATTCAATTAATAATATCTTTCATCAGGCTATTCTACTTCATTAATCATAAAAGAAAATTTTAGAATAATGTCAACTTTGATCTTGTTTATTTGTAATTTTACGAATGATTCCAATACTGTGATGTAATCAAACCTGCACAAACGTCTATAATATTAATTTCATACACTGATTATGAAGTAACCGACGATATTATGTAGTAAACAATTCGACTACCGTAATTGCGTAATCCCAGGATACGATACTAGTCTTTTATTAACAACGTATTCATTAATGCAATAAACAACCCAAAAACTACCATTGTTTGCATTGCAAGGTGGAATCTTTGCGTACATGATTAAAATATAGATCTATCAACGACTTGTTTACGTAAACTGGGACAGCCTAGCTTTTTTCTGTTACGAATTTTGATCAATAACATTTCTAGAACTATTATCACATTAATGAGCACATCAGCTCATTATTAGTAAGCTATAAATATAAAACCTTAACAGACATGAATTATAAAAATTAGCTCAGTCTACCCCAAACCTCTGATAAATACCAATCAACACTATTATATAACCGTTGGTTAGCATGTCATAAATCCTATCGATTGCATATTCAGGTATGATACAGAAAGCTCAGTATTTATAGATTTACGTGCAGATATTAGATCCATCAAGCCTGTAAGAAAAATACTGGTTAACATGTAACGTGCTGGTAATTTTAGCAATAACGAATTTATCCAATTTAGAACCTTCATATACGAGAGCTTATCAATTTTCTAAAAATTACCCAATTAAAACTTTTACGATAAATGCGATCAAGCAGGCTATCAACCTTTTCCTTAAGATTTTTATGATATAATAGTAGCAATTGTCAATTGTGTTTACGAAAATTAGCTCAAGTTAGCCCTTTCCCCGATAAATAACCGCCAACATAATCATGTAATAATAAAAAAAAGCATTGTCAACCTTGCGATAATGGGTTTACAATATTATAGTTCAACATATGTCAGCTGGATTCTAGAAAACTAGCCCAAACTAAAACATACCCTAAGATATATAATTATATATTACCATTTTAATCGTATGACCATTAAAACATTTAATTGAAATCGATCTATTAATCATGCTTATTCTTGCATATTGGTCAAGAATCTACATTAGTTACGTTCTCTCGAGTTATTTGAGTGTCGTTTCAAGTTTAAAAAAAAACATAACAGCTCACTGATCTCATTAATCGAGCAATCGATTTATCATGTTTTTCAAACCATCTGTAGCCCTACAGTGCTTCTAAAAACAACATCGGCTATTTAATACTATACTCTGTTTTTATGAATAGTAAAATATCATGATCTCGACTATTAAAAGCGTACTCTCAGTGCAACTTTTATTTTTAGGTTATGCACTAAGGGATGCCAAACACTCTGCTAATTTTATATTAATCATCGATCGCCTATAATTAATTAATATCGGCATATTAACAAACTAACAATCAAGTAATTACAGTGCCTTGTCTCCAATCTAATGCACTATTTCTGAAAACACAATAGTTACGGAGAGAACTAAAGAATTCCGTATAATAATAAAAATTCACAGCTGCTGATTAATCCTTCCCACGATCCATTAATTGATAGGCTGATTGCTAGAGATATGCAGCCCAACCATAACACAGTGCCGATAATGATTAAATAACAGGACAATAAATGAATATTAAAGAGTAAGATGAAAGTTTACCAAATTTGAGAATAGTAAAACTGACTACTTTAAATGATGACTTTTGACTATGGACTTATATCTTACCAGCCAACATATCATCAGTATAAACTACGGTAGTAATTAAGTGTCAGAATTGCAAAAATCGAATACACGTTACTTTCTACGATTCACTGATCTATATTCTAATCACTAAATATCTACTCTACATATTCGCAATATTAGTAATAGCGCTGAAGTTGATGAAATATCGGCATAATAAAATTACCATAAGCACTACTCCTAGTAAGCAAGCATAGTATGTCTTGAGTCTTTCAAGGTGCAACATATGTTTTGATCTAATGTTCATAACATACTATTTCGATAATATATTAACGATTTAAGGCTAATATTAATTATAATTCTTTATAGCTTTATATTAAACTGACAGATAGTAAGTCAAAACTAGAAAAAAAATAACTTGAATCTTCTAACGGATAATACATTCTGGTACCGTGATTATAGAAACGATATGAAAATTTAGCAAGTATCATTTACTTTTCCCAGGCAATTAGATTTACTACTAGTTCATCCGTAGATTGTTAGTTAAAACGCCGAAAGAAAATAAAAGCATAATTATTATTATCTGCATGGTCTTGCAAGCCGTTGTGGTATGGGATATCAATTATTATACTGTTTCGTATACAGGTCCCACAGTGTGTAATAGTCATTACCTAGATCAATCTTCTATATTTCTTGTGATTGTAATTTCAAGCCTCCCAATTATGTCCCACCATTATTTATTTATTGAAGTATTAAAATTCCTTATTTTAAAAATGCAATACAGTCTAGTTGTGCGTTACATGAAATATTCGCTTTTAAATTTGATCCTACATTTGTTTTTAATAGAATTTCCTGATGGCAATTTAAGCCAATCTTAAACTAAAAAAATTAAGGATATAGTAATTTATTAAATTTGCCATTCGAGTCTATCAGGTGCGATCTACCAATGTACTTCAATGCTACAGTAACAAATAATCATAACAGTATGACTAGGAAATAGATTCAATCGGACATTAACTATTAACTTGTGTTATTTAATGCTCCATCATGTAGCTGATGTTATGCATTTGTATAATTCAAAGCCATTACAATATAGAAATCATGAAATTACCCTCTCAAACTGATTTAGCTAGATACTATATCAAGTACGTTTATCTTAATCAACTAATGCTTAATCGAAAATGAACGACAAATAAAGACCACTAATATCATGTATGACTAGACATCGTTCATTTACATGTTGATCTTGTAATATTTGATAGCTGACAGTCGTTTATTGTCATTATTGTAGCACATACAAAGTACTATTGACAGAGCGTCAACGAATCCCCGTATCAATAATTAGCTTTATGAATAGCGAGATGAAATTAACGTATTGCTCCATCCTGATCACAACGATCACTACCAACAATTAAGTAGCAGCATTTATCGAATTGATAAAATTGAATTAATAGTCAATATTGGGTTGTTTACGAGGTAAATGAACAATTTGTCATAACATTAAGAACATTTGATAAAATGGGAAACAATTTTGGGACTTTGTGGTGGAGTATACTATGCAGCAAGAGATATCGACTCCAAATTGATTTTTATATACAAGAATTCAAATTTACAATCTACGTTAAACTTTTTTTTTCTCTTGCTACGTAAATTCCATTTCAAGCAGATCTGATAGCTGTACTTTAATTCTGTCAGCTGCGCTATTGCTAGAATGTTAAAGTTATTCTCAATTTAAGCCTTACGCAGGCAAAAAATGCGAGAATATATATTTTATACATTTCCGTTCTCAACGAATTGCGATTTTTTATGGAACAATCAAAATCACTGTCATTTTATAAGTGCCGTGTAATATCAAAATCCATCCAAGTAAAGACTCATTCGTGCCCTTCTAAAGATATTATAATTGCTGATAGTAGTTATTGCTATATAGCCTTAAATTTTATATACTATGAATAAATGCCGAAAAATAAAATAAACTTATAAAATTTACTCATCTAAGAGTAATATCAAATTGCTAAGATCTTATAAATCATACGTTTGAAGTGTTAACCCATAGACATCGCAGATAAGCGTATTGCTGGTTCTGTTAACGATCTTATTCAATCTAAGATACAAATGAAGCCGATGAAAAACAACTAAACTATTACCCCAAATTTAACGACATACGGATTATAATACTGTCTTTTCGACAAATATAAATACCCAACAGTACTTGCTACATGAGCTCAGTCGATATTTCATTCTGTCCATAAAATAAGATCTATAAATCGAATACAGGCATATACGAGTTTGGTTGAATCCAATTAATCTGGTTACTAGAATAAGAGAGGAATTACCAGGAAATAACTGGTGATAAGATGAAATTAATACCCAGAATAATATGAATTAATTTAATCATTTTTATCGATGAGAGGAAAAATTTAAAAGTTATACATGTATACGATAATTAATGGCTTAATTTAATCCCAAATTATCAAAATTACAGCTAAATTTATAGCTGACGGTAGACCTTGGAATACTATTTCGATTAGATCCGTTAAGCTCTTAAATTAAGATTTTTAAAATAATATAAGGTAAAGATTTATTATTTGCCACGAAAATCCCATGGATATCAAGGAGAATTATATTAAATTGCATTGCGTAATATGAATTGAATCTATCTCATCATTAAAATCTTCATGTCAACTAATACGAAAGCGAACTGTTTACAATGGAATACAACATACTTCCATTTTTATTTTTATTCTATTGATATAGTGATTTTACTTTCTCAACATTTTTTAAATGTCTTACTAAAAGATACTAATATGCTACATTTTAAATAGTTTAGATCTATTAGGACCTGAAAAAAAGTTAGAGTAGAAATACAGTAGTCAAAGAAAATAGATACAGTAAACCAGTAAGCAAAAATTAGACTCTAAAACATAAATTTCTATTACGAATGCTAAGTTTTTGTACAATACGAAATAAACTAGATGATCCTGGCGCAAAACTGTGTGTTATTCCTAATATAATCATACATGTACTTGAGACAACGGATTCGTAATCTCTCAGGATAAATGTTACTATACTAAAAACGCTAATTCTGACCCGTTTGCTATAAATATTACTTTATTTTCAGTCAATTTTTGATTATTTAATACCCATTAATGTTAATCGATTCATGTTAAGACACCCTAATATCAAGATAACTCAATTATAGACTCATCGATTAGATACAAACGTATGGAATAGCTTGACTATTAGCAAGATAGAGGAGAAGATCTACTACTAATTGCCGATTTTAAAAATCGCTACAATACCAAAGAAAGAATACAGTATACAGGACGTAAGATGAGCAATAGAAACAATATCTGTGCCCACTAATTTAGGAAATTTTACAATTATGATTGCTAGAACACTACAATCATTAAGTCTGATTTTTCGCATTCTAACAAAATTTTATTTGACTACATGTAGTATAAAACTACAAAAAGAGTAAGAAGTTAATTTCATATAGTATAGTAAGTTTGGAAAGGCAATATCATTAATCAAGGAGCAGTATGAATAATGAATCTAAGTACATGAAAACTAGGTTCAGTTATCTTTCGATACTCATCACATTTACCGGCAAAATTAAAAGTATTCCAGGATCAAAAAGTCTATTAAAATAAACTGCTGCTTTTTTTATCATTAGGCTACTTCTGTAATTGATATAGCATGGATAATTTTTAAAATAGAAGTAAAGGAAAATTGATAAATCCAGCACTGCGCATA